GAACGGAATAGAAAACCCAGAAATAAACCGATAATTATATGGACAATTAATCTTTGACAAAGCAGGAAAGAATACCCAATGGAAAAAAGACAGTTTCTTCAACAAACGGTGTTGGAAAAACTGGACAGCCATATGTAAAGGGATGAAACTAGACCACTTCCTTACACCATACACAAAAATAAACTGAAAATGGATGAAAGAACTACATGTGAGACCTGAAACCATAAAAATCCTTGAAGAGAATACAGGCAGTAACTTCTTTGACTTTGGCCATAGCAACATTTTCTTAGCTGTGTCTCCAAGGACAAGCTGTGTCTCCTGGGACAAACAAAAGCAAAAATAAACTATTGGGACTACATCAAAATAAAAAGTGAAGCACAGTGAAGGAAACAACAAAACTAAAAGACAACTTACTGAATGGGAGAAGATATTTGCAAATGACACCTGATGAAGGGATTAGTATCCAAAATATATAAAGAACTATCCAACTCAACACCCCAAAACCAAATAATCCAATCAAAAATGGGCAGAAGACATGAATAGACATTTTTCATACAGATGACCAACAGACACATGAAAAGGTGCTCAACATCACTCATCATCAGGGAAATTGAATCAAAACTATAATGAAATATCACCTCACACCTGTCAGAATGGCTAAAATCAACAACACAAGAAACAACAGGTGTTGGTGAGGATGTGGAGAAAAAGGAATCCTCTTGTATTGTTGGTGGGAATGCAAATAGTGCAGCCACTCTGGAAAACAGTATGGAGATTCCTCAACAAGTTAAAAATAGAACTACCTTATGGATCTAGCAATCACACTAATGCGTATTTACCCAAAGAATCAAAGAACACTAATTCAAAGGGATACATGCATCCCTATGTTAATATCAGCATTATTTACAATAGCCAAGATATGGAAGCAGCACAAATGTCCACCAATTGATGAATGGTTAAAGAAGATGTAGTTGTAGTATACACACACACACACACACACACACACAGAGAGAGAGAGAGAGAGAGAGAGAGAGAGAGAGAGAGAACGGAGTATTACTCAACCATTAAAAAGAATGATCTTGTTACTTGCAATGGCATGGATGGAGCATCATGCTAAGTGAAATGCTAAGTGTCAGAGAAAGACAAATACCATATGATTTCACTTATATGTGGACTTTAAGAAACAAAACAAACAAACATAGGGAAAAAGTGTTTGCTCTAATCTTCTGTTCTGCATGTTTTTATAATAGCAAAAGTTGAAGCACAGGGTCTTATCAAGAGGAAAACTTTTTACCTCTTTTTTTTTCCCTTCCCATTCTCTTAAAAAATCAAATCTTTTTATAAGAAGCTGCTCAGTTTTTTTTAAAACAATATTTTTTTCTTAGTGTAGTTTTAGGTTCACACCAAAATTGAGCAGAAGGTACACTGATTTCAAATATAACTCCTGCCAGCTCCCACCTCCTCCTGAATTACAGTGGTCCATTTTTTTTTATATTTTAAGTTTTTATTTTAATTCCAGTTAGTTAACATACAGTGTTATATTATTTTCAGGTACACAATATAGTGATTCGACAATTCCATACATAACCCAGTGCTCATCACAAGTGCACTCCTTAATCCCCATCACCTTTTTAGCCCATCCCCCCACTCCTCTCCTCTCTGGTAACCATCATTTTGTTCTCTATAGTTAAGAATCTGTTTCTTGATTTTTCTCTCTCTCGCTCTCATTTTTTCCCTTTGTTTAGTTTGGACATATTTTTTTATTTCTTTGACCCATTGGTTGTTCAGGAGTGTGTTGTTTAGTTTCCATATGTGTGTAAATTTACTTGTTTCTCATGACCTTGACAGCCCTGTGAAGTACTGGCTAGATATTATGTAGAATGCCCCCAATATGAGTTTGCTTGATGTTTTCTCATAATTAGACTGGAGTTACGTGTTGTTTATTATTTTTTTTTGAAAGAGTACCACAGAGGTTAAATGCCCTTTTTATCACATCATATCAGGACATAAATGACATCCATACATTATTGGTGATGTTAACCTTCAGCATTTGATTAAGGTAGTGTCTGCCAGGTTTCTCCATAGTAAAGATATTATTTATTACCTGTCTTCACCATTAGAATGTAAGATCTATGAGCCTAGAAATGCTATATGATTTGTTCACTGCTATATCCCTAGTGATTGATTAGAGCAGTGCATGGTCTTAGGTACTCAATAAATATTTGTTGAATGAATAAATGGAAGCATGAATTAGATGATCCTTAGCTTCCCATTCTACTCCACTTTTTAGAAAATTTTGGGGGTGCCTGGTTGGCTCAGTTGGTTATGTGTCTGACTCTTGGTTTCAGCTCACGTCAGGATCTCAGGGTCATGAGATTGAGCCCCATGTTGAGCTCCGTTCTCAGTGCAGGCTCTGCTTGAGATTCTTTCCCCCTTCTTCTCCCTCCCCCGTACCCTTCCCATGTTCACGTGTGCTCTCTCTCTCTCTCAAATAAATAAATAAATACAATCTTTAAAAAAATTTGTTTTGACCATTTTTTTTGACCAGCAAGTCTTTTGTTTTGCTAACAGCAATTATATTAGGGTATAAAGTCTTTATGCATCAAATGTACAGTGTGTGCTGCCAATTACCGAAAATATATGGACATTAGCACCTAATGGTTGACAGGTGAATGACTTACTACAGGTGACTTACTTATATTTAATTTTGGCTTCAAAAGCCAGGGCAAGATTATCTAGGCCTACTTTGTCCAGGTTGGGAGTTAGCATATGGCATTTAAATGAGCTTAGGTTTTAGTAAGACCTAGATTTTCAAATCTCATTACTACCACTTCTTAGCATCATGTCTCTGGGCAAGTGGTCCAGCCTCTTGGAATTTTCTCATCTTTGATGTGGGAGTAATTGTTCTTTTCTTGTAGGTTGGTATTAGCTAAGTCACATAGCAAGTGTCTACTCAGTGTTTGGCATTTTGCTGAATAAATACTGGTTTTCTTACCTTTCCACAATCTTCTGAAGCATGTAGTTGAATTAACTCTCCTATTCTGGGACAATCATTTTCTACTAAAGAGCATCTTTTAGCTGGGAGATCAGTGCAAGCAATTCCATTTCATTTAAGAGTTGATGATTTAATAATTTATTTAGAAATAAGCTGTGGCTTCTATAATAAAATTCATCTGGCATATGTACAAAGCACCATTATTACTTTCCTCTGGCAAGAAAGCTGATGGAATATAAACATTTTACCAATGTGCATAGCACAGTTTACCTTCATGCAGTGCCTGCACCTTGAAGAAATATCCTCTGGTGCCCTACAGTGGATGTGGCTCAACATAAAATTTGTCACTTCCCAAGCACTTGAAATATTGCCCCATTTCTTATACACCTGCACTGCACATGCTTATTTGGTAATGTCAGTCTGCTTCCTTATTTTAGTAGCTAAAGTGACATAGCCCTGTTCTATAATTTGCCAAGTGATTGAAGGTGCCAGGCAGGTCTGTATTATCCCAGTAATGTCACTGATTCCTAGTGCTTAAAAAGAGAGGAGGGTGAGCACTTAGCATGAGGGTGATATGTTCTGTGGGAATGTATGTTCTTGGCAAGTTGTTTATGACCTTTTTCTTCTGTACAGCCAAAGGAGTGGAGGAACATATTTCAAATTCCCATTGGCAAGGGCTCCCAGTTCTTTTATAAGGATTTGTAAAATTCTATCCCTTTGAATCTTGTCAGCAGTCTCTGGATATCCTGCAAGCTTTCGTTCATAAAGCTTTCAACGCACAGAGCTGAGGGGCCTGGGCAGGGAGCATGCATGTAAGAGTGTGTGCTTGTGTGTATTTATCGGAGGCTTCTGGATTGAAATGCCAATATTATGTTGCTTTCTGGTTTGAATTTACTACAGCTATAAAATGGAAGCATCCCTCTGCATAGTGAAGTATAACAGATGAGTCTCACCACTTATTTAGTTGAGTCAGCTTAATGTAGATCAGCGTTCAGGTCTTCCTTTCGGTTCCTTTCCTATTTCTCTTTTCCAGAGCTTCTCATCAGCTGTTGAGTTTAGAGGAAAAACATTTCCCTGGAGCTGTGATAGTTCTCCTAGGGAAAGAGAAAGGGATCCTGTTCAGTCTTCAGGGATGATGGGTGTGGTATAATTTGCCATATTTCATTGTTTGAAAGTGTGCACATTTTTTTAAAAGATTTTATTTATTTATTTGACAGCGAGATAGAGCACAAGCAGGGGGAGCTGCAGGCAGAGGGAAAGGGAGAAGCAGGCCTAGTGAGCAGAGAGCCCAATGCGGGGCTCCATCCCAGGACCCTGAGATCATGACCTGAGCTGAAGGCAGATGCTTAACACACTAAGCCACCCAGGTGCCCCAAGTGTGCACATTTTCTATTTGTAACTTCTTTGGAAAGTATAAGTCACCAAATATTGATGAGACAGTTTTCACTTCTTCCCAAGTCATCAGAGGATGGATATTGGAGGTTGTCTAACCACACAAGTTGGTTTGTGGTTTGCAGGTTCAAAAAAACACTTCATAATTGCTCTTAGAATTCGGCATGGCCTGGAGCTTTCGAGGTTTGGGAGCAAGGGACAGAAAAACAGTAGTCCTCTGACTAGGAGGAAAGACCTCAGTGATTTCTTTTATTCTTTGGGGGTTCATTCAGATTCCAGTTTCTTTGGTCCTAAACCAGGATTCTGGGCAAAAAATAAATTGGGTGATTAGCACAGTCAGATAGGTTTGGTTTCCCCATGAGCCCTGTGATGTTAATTTTATGTTTCAACTTGATTGGGCTAAGGGATACCCGTGTAGCTGGTAAAACATTATTTTCGGGTGTGTCTGTGAGGTTAGCATTTGAATTGGTAGACAGATTAATGAAAATTGCCCTCACCAGTGTGGGTGGGCATCACCCAAACCACTGAAGGCCTAAATAAAACAAAAAGGCAGAGGAAGGGTGAATTTGCTTTTTCTGCTTGAGCTGAAATGTTAATCTTCTCCTTCCTTCAGATATTGGTGCTCTTGGGCTTTTGGACTCAGACTGGGACTTATGCCACTGTTGCCCTGATTCTCAGACCTTTGGACCTGGAGTGAATTACATTCCCCACTGTCCTCGTCATGGGACGTATTAGCCTATATAATCAAGTAAGCCAATTCCTAAAATAAATCTCTTCTTACATCTCTTTCTCTGATTAGCACAAGCCCCATGTGTAGAAAGGGACAGATCTTTTACTTCAGATTTTGCATATGTTCCATTCATTGATCATTCTCTTGAGGCTGGTAGGTTTCATATAGCACTTTTGAGATTGATTGACTCACTTATGAAATTATTCTGTGAATACTAAGAGCCAAACACCAAGCCAGGTTGTGAATACAAAGATAATTCAACCAAGGATCACAATATATCTCTCTGACTTGACTGCAAGTTCCTTGCCAGCAAAGGTTTTATAGTCTAGTAGGGAAAATAAATGATGAACATCAGAAAACCATAATATAAGATAGAAAGTGACATGTCATTACAGCATATAAAGAGAGGTAGAGATTAATTGTCCCAAATTAGGGAAAGATGACATTTGGTGGAGTGATGTGGTGAGACTTTAAGAAGTCATTTGAGCTGGACTTCAAATTTATAGGAAAAGAAGGCAAACATTCCAGGTGGTCAAAGGCACAGACGTGGAAAGGCACAGGACATAGCATACAGACATTTCTTGTCGGGTGGGCAGGGGAGATGAGAGGGGAAAGAGACAGTTTCATAGCCTAGGGCCCGTTTTGGATTTGGGATTCATGGAGTTCTTGGAGTACTTCTGGGGATCCAAGGAACACGGTTAAGGTTAGGTGGTCCTTGGGGTGCGGGGGTTGGAGTAGGGAGTCTGGGACTGTGCGATGTTTTCTGATACTGCTTCTGACAACAAATATGTGTCATTTTTCTACACCAGTTCTCCAGTACTCTGACGTCAATCAACTGGATGTCCAACTCAATTCAATTTGGATACTATCTACCTGGAATTAGTGTGAAATCCCACAAATTAAAGGGCCCAGTTCCACAAGACTGCCCCTACCTCAGATGCCAGCTGCAAGTGGGGTACCCAGGTGACCCACACTTCTGCCCAGCCAACTACATATTTGAGGATTCCCATGACCACCCCCCACCAAGTTTGATAATTCACCAGATAACTCACAGAAATCAGGAAAGTGCTTTACTTTTCCAGTTTATTATAAAGGGTACAACTCAAGAAGAGCCCAATGAAGGACATGCATCTGGCAAGGTATGGGACAAGGGCTGCAGAGCTTCCATGCTCTCCGAATGCACCGGCCTCCCAGCACAGTGGTGTGTTTACACACCTGGAAGCTTCCTGACCTCTCATTTAGGAATTTTTATGGAAGAAGTTCCATTACATAGGCATGATTGATTAAATCATTGGCCATGGATGATTGAACTTAATCTTCAGCCCTTCTCTCCTCCCTGGAGGTTGGTGTTGGGGGTGGGGGAGGTGGAAGTTCTAACCCTCTTGTCATGTGGTTGGCTTTTCTGGTGACCAGCCCCCAGTATGAGTCACCTCACGAGCACACAAAAGACAGTAAATTCCATGGATTTTAGCTCTGTGCCAGGAATCAGGGACAAAGACCAAATATTTATTTATTTTTTATTATACCACAGAGGCAGAAACCATTTACTTCACAGTCTTGCCGAGGGGAAAGTGCCTACAGCAGGCCTGGGGGGAGGTCAGCGTGGAGCTCAGCTCTGAGGTAACAACAGGTAACACAGCTTGGATCAACGCTGAGTGTGCTGGAGCTTTTCTGAAACAGGATGAGGGTTTATGCCAAGGTCGGGTGAAGCCGGGCAGGGTTGATGAGACCTTGCTAAAGACTAGTTTACAATGTGTGATACTGTTGGCTCTGCCTAGAGATATCTGGTTCTAACTTAGGGCAACTTGGGGAGAACATGGCTTTACCTTACATTTTTATTTTGTTCTTTTTTAACAGATAATTCCCATTGTTGGAGTAATGCCCTCATGGAAAAAGGAAACTGGTTCCAAGTTAGTGTCAGTTCTGGGATAATCATCCAGGGTAGTAGTTCCTTTCTCTGCCTGGCTGAGGAGGATCCATCTTGTTAATAGTCAAAGAGTACATATACATATAGAAGTGGAGAACATGTCGACGAGCTGGCTTGAATCCTTTAAAATATTCACACTTTTCTGTGACTGGCAGAAGGATCTTCGCAGGCAAGAACTTAGCTGAATGGTCCTAACGGAAATAAAGAGGGTGCCTCAGGACTCCAGAAAAACTGAAGGTTTTTGTCCATGTGACATCCTTGAGTCCTCCGAGGAATCAATCTTAGAATCTGTCTTAGTCTGTTTGGGCTGCTATAACAGAATAACACAGACTGGCTGGCTTATAAACCACAGAAATTTACCTCTCACAGTTCTGGAGGGGGGAAGTTCAAGATCAGGGTGCTAGCCTGGTTGGGTTCTGATGGAAGCCCTCTTCTGGGCTGCAGATGGGCAACTTCTCATTTTGTTCTCACATGGCAGCAGGTGGACAAGCTGCTCTCTGGGGCTTCTTTATTAGAGACACGAATTCCATTCATGAGGGCTCTGTTCTCATGACCTAGTCACCACCCAAAGACCCCCCCCCACAACCATTATTGGGCATTAGGATTTCAACATATGAATTTTGGGGGACATAGCCATTTAAACCATAGCAGAATCTATTTTGCAAAGACACCCTAATGCCTTGAAAGATGCAGAGCAGGACTAGGAGCATGCTCCAGGAGTAGCATAGCAGGAATGCTAAAAAGGGAGAAGGAAGCTAACATTTCCAGAGCGCTCACCATATGCTGGGACCCATGCTGGCTGCTTTACCTACACGATCTCTTAATTCTCCCAACAGCTCTGTGAGGTTGATTTAACCTACTTCTATTTACAGATAAGGAAGCTGAGGTTCAGAGAAGTAAGTTGTCTAAGGTCATTTGACTTGTCTAAGGTCAACGTGGTAGTCCATCTGACCACAGGCCATGCTCTTTCCAATATATAGCAAAATAGTTGTGGGTCCAGAGACTGATTTTAGAGTTAGAAGTAATCTTGGAGTAAATAGGCAACTACTACTAAATAGACTTAGAATGATTTTTAGTGGTCACCCACTGCCATACCTCTGCCAGGTGGCCTTCTGCTTTGGTTTTACTTCCAGCTACTGCTAAGGCAGGGCCCAAAGGGGCAGCAAGTTGAGGACTGATTCCAAACTTCACCTGCAAGAATAGAAAGATGAGAATGGGAGAAAGTATGAAAAGAAGATTAATAGAAAGTGAAGGGCTCATCTTGTGAGAAATTTCGAATATCGTATCTCTGCAATAATTAGTTAATGTGGCTCAGGAATAGACTCACAGGTGAGTAGAAGGGAATATATTTTTGTGGAAGCAAACTCTAAAAGTTAACACACAATAAAGGAAATACTGCAAGTCACTGAGAAAGATTGGTCTATGTGTTTGATAATTTGTGGAAATGTAGATAGCTACATAGAAAAAAAGTAATGCAAGTCACAACCTTATATCATGCCCAGATAAATTCCAGGTACATGAGTGAATTGTGTTTAAAAAGTGAAAATACTATAAGAAAATTAAGATTAATATTTATCTGATCTGAGTGGGAAAGGGTATTTTAAGCATAAAATCTGTAAGAGAAATCACAAAAGAAAAGATGGATAGACTTGACTATAGACAAATTAGAATTTTGTGTTTATAAAAAAATATAAACAAAAACTTAAAATAATTGATAATTTGGGGAACATCTGCAAGAAATATGACTAAGGGTGAATATCTTTAATATGTAACGTATTCACACAAATCAATAAGAAAAAATGTTAATGCCCTAAATTTAAAATGGGCCAAGTGTATGAAGAGATAAATTACCTCAAGAGAAATTATAAGTGACATATATTCGAAAAGTTCACCTTAGCTAGTAATCAAAGCAATAGAAATTAAAGCTTTTACTTAATCACTGAGAATTATTGGAAGTAGGATTTAAACTTGGTGTGGGAAAATGTGTGCTCACATATCGTGGGTAGAGAGCAATCTGTCAATCCTTTGCTGTAGGCCTATCTCTGACATTTGGGAGCCTAGGCCGAAAGTATAAATGGAAGCTCATATGCCATTTATCTAGATATTTAAAATATGTAATTGTATTCAAAGGATATACATCTGGAAACATCCCCATTACACATGTAAATTAAACTAAAGAAATGGAAAATTAGAGTTATGTATTATATATTTTTGAAAAGTCATTTTTTCTTCCAAAATATTCAGAATTATTTTAAAATTAAAAGGCGGGCGCCTGGTGGGTCAGTCAGTTAAGCGTCTGACTTTGCTTCAGGTCATGATCTCAGGGTCCTGGGATCGAGCCCAGTGTTAGGCTTCCCGCTCAGCAGGGAGTCTGTTTGGCCCTCTGCCCCTCTCCCGACTCATGCTCTCTCTCTCTCTCTTAAATAAATAAATAAAATCTTAAAAAAATAAAACTAAAAGACAAAATGAAAGTTATAATTAATGACTATCAGAATTTTATTTTTAAAAAATATTTATTTGAGAGAGAGAGATCGAGACTTTGAGCAAGTGTGAGCAGGGAGAGGGGCAGAGGGAGAGGAAGAGCAGACTACCCACTCAGCACGGAGCCAATGTGGGGCTCGATCTCACGACCCTGAGATCATGATCTGAGCTGAAACCAAGAGCCAGGCTCAGCCAACTGAGCCACCCAGGTGCCCCTGACTATCAGACTTTTGGATAAGACTTAGATAAATTTTAGTTTAATTTTAAATATTTAACTAAATATCAGTAAATGTTTTTGTGAAAATAAAGCTACTCAAAATTGTTCAATGTCAATGTCCATGAAGTTGTTTAGTAAAGAATTGTTATCATCCATCGTGCATGTTGTACCTTTACCCATGTGGTCTCAAATTTAAGAGCCATATTAATTGGTTAATATTGCAAAGGGCTCCTCCTCAAAGTGCAGACAGCACCAACTTATGAGTATGTCAGGAGCTGTACATTTAGCAGAAGGGAGGTTGGAAAATAGGCACACGGTACCACTAGCAAATGGTACTTTCTTTTCTAAGAAGCTGTTGCATTGATGTTGACAGGAAGGGCTTGTCACGTTAACTTATCTCTCTCTTACCTGTGTGCTTTCTACCCCTGCAGAGAAGTGTCCATCTCTGATGGCATAACTCATAGATCTTACAGGTATTCAGATGCAGTTCCTTTATGTTTTAAGGACATCTGGCAAGAGAGGTGAAGCTCTGTGTCCCTGGGGCCTGAATACTGATTGATTCTGGCACCCACATGTTCTTTAATAAATGTAGAGTGTGCATGTGTGTGCGGTGCATGCGTGTGTGTGTGTGTTTGGCGTTGGTGGCCTTCTGATGTGTGGCCTAGGGCAAGATTCCTTGTTATCTGGGCTCAGAGGCAGTTAGTACAATATACATCAAAAGCCTTAGAACTATGAAGACGCTGCCATTACATCTTCGTTAGGCTAGGTTAGGGTTGGACAAAGGAATTATGTAGGCTTTAACTCGTGATTCCATTAAAAAAAATACCCTAAATAAATAATGAATGAATACTAGAGAGTGTGAACAAAAATTTACATACCAAGGTGCTTATTAGACATTATTTTTTTATAGTTATTTATTTAGTACAACATTATTTAAAATATTCAAGTAGAGGGGAATAGCTAGATAACATTGTGATATCTGTATAGTTGAATACAATGCTAGCACTTTTTTAAACATGTGGGAAATACAGCTATAACATTAAGTGACAAAGTGAATTGTATAAAATATTATCCCAGTTAAGAGAACCATATGCACAGAAGCAAAGACAGGGAGGAAATGCATTGATATTTTATAGTGCTTATGTTTGAGGTGTGAGAACATGGTTAATTTATCTTTTTAAAAAAATTTGTATAATTTTCCCGGTTTTGTATTACAAGCACATTATTTTCAAAATGAAAGAAAGCAATTTCAAAGAGTCAGCTTTGATGTTAACATATTGCTTCACAAGCGCTGCATGGGAGCCTTAGAGACAATGCCTAATTCGTAGTAGAGGGTGAGAAGTGGAGTGTTGGTTCTTGCTAAAAAGGGGGACTTGGGATTATTATTAGGCTCTCTGGGTATCTCTATGATCAAGTAAGTTTGTCACATTTTTGGAAAGCATTGGTTTCAACTAGGGCACACTACATAGGTGTTTCTGTTAGGCTATATTCTGGAAATTCCTTTAGGTCTCCTGCAAAGAAAACCAAAAGAATAAAAAAATCCTCAGTTTGATAGAATCAGGGGATGGGGATGCATGCAGATGGTAGATGGTAGAAAAGAACTTTTTATCTTGGCTTGAAAAATCATAAGGGCCAAACATAGTTTTAAGTTCAGTGTCTGACTAAACCTCATAATCAGCTTTATTGATAGCCCTTTGCCTATAACCACTGGGTAAGTATTAAGTTACAAGATGCACACCAAACCTGAGACCACAAAACTCCTTTCTCCAACCCTAACTTAGCCTGACAAAGCTGTAATGGCAATGTCTTCATGGTCCGTAGATTGGTTATATTCTGTTTCCTTCCAGGGCAAGCCTCTGACATGGAGAGGCAGCTTAACCTAGTAGTTGAGAACCTAGGATTCAAGATATGTTACAATGAAATGAGGAAGTCTTAAGAGCAATATTTATGTTCTGAACAATCGTTGAAAAACACACAAACAGCTGCATCTTTTGTATACTGTAGTAGACACCTTAGGTTAAGATATGCTGTAGTAACAAACAGTCCACAAATCTCAGTGGTGTTCCATAGTAAAGCGAGTGGCTTACTCACATCACATGCTGGCTGGGGGTTGACTAGCTCTGCTTTACATCTTCACTCTGGGATCCAGGCTGAAGGAGTAGTCCCTGTCAGGGACATCACTATTCTCATGGCAAAGGAAAAAGAAGATGGTGGAAGACATGATGGCTCTTAAAGCTTCTGTTTGGAAGTAGAACATACCTTTGGCCAAAAAAGACACATGACCAAGCCTGAGGGCTATGGGGTAGGAAATGCAATCCTTCCTGTGGCCCATAGGGAAGGGCTGCAAATATTTTGGATAATAATAAAAGTATATTTGTGTATAATTGTGTGTGTGTGCATGCGTGTGTAAACAGCAAGGATTAGAGCAGTTACTTTTATCTTATGTAAGGTAAATAAGTAACACATATAGTATGATAGGTAGCGATACATGATTAGGAGACAAATAAAGGAGGTAAAGGGGGAGAAGTTTTGTTTTGTTTTGCCTTTGAACAATTTTAAATAGCCCAGGCCAATGAGACATCTTAGTGAAGAGTTAAGAAGGTGAAGAAGTGAGCCATGGAGATATTTGGGGAAAGAACATTTCCAGCAGAGAAAGCAACAAAGGTAGTGACCCTGAGGCAGGCCTGCGCTGGGCCTGTTGGAGAACTGATGAGCCATTCCTAGCTCGGTGGCGCTTCACTGCCGCTGATCTCCCTTTACTGTCCCCGCACCTTTGTAAATAAATATTCAGTGTACTCTTCTCAATTACTCCTCGTGAGGGTGCCATCTGTTTCCTGTAGGGACTTGATGGATATGAGTCAATCCATCCTGTTCGGGAAGGTTGTATAGTTTATAAAAAGAAATGCTGGAGGAGTTCAGAGCAGGAGAAAATCATTGTAGGATGAAGTATGTGAATCTTTGTTTTGTCCTTGAAGGAAATACAGTAGAACCAAGTTATTTCTAGGACCCTGCTTCAAGATTAAGAGTAACCCTTCGAGCCGTGGCCTCAGCCAGAAATCTCTCTGGGTGTTATCTCAGATTCTTCTTTCTTCCTCACCCCAGCAGCTAATTGATCACTAAATCCCATCTGATTTTCTAAATCTCTCTTGCATCATGCTTTGCAGGTCCTTGTTATCCACCCCTGGGTGTCTATGGTAGCCTCCCTTGATGTGGTCTTACCCTTTCTCCAAAGTGACCTTTATAAAATACAAGTTGGCTATCTTACTGCTCCTTTGAAAACCACTCACTGGCCCTCCCTGGTCTACAGGAGAGTGTCCATAGTCCTTGGCCAGCATTTCCAGCCTCATCACGCACCATCCCTCCTTTTGCACATTATGTTCAAGCCATACTCAGTAACATAGGGTTCTCATGTGGTCATGCTTCCAGATCTTCCCATATGCTTCACCAGGTGCCAGCAATGCCACTCCCCTGTTAACCAACTCTTGCCTGTCCTTCAGAACTTAGCTCAAGTGTCACCTCGTCAGGAAATCACTTTCTTCTACTTTTAAAAAAATATTTATTTATTTGTCAGAGAGACAGAGAGAGCACAAGCAGGGGGAGCAGCAGGCAGAGGGAGAGGGAGAAGCAGGCTCCCCACTGAGCAGAGAGCCTGACATGGGGCTCCATCCCAGGACCCTGGGATCATGACCTGAGCCAAAGGCAGACGCTTAACTGACTGAGCCACCCAGGCGTCCCAGGAAGTCATTCTTTCAACAAGTATTTGTTGAGCTGGTCCATGAAGGCACTGAGCTAGGCATTTTGTGTATAAAACATACAAGATCCTTGTTTTCATAGAGATTTTGTCTAATAAATCTTACTTTGTTTTTAAAGTAATTGAATAAGGCAGCCATTGGACAGAAATGGCTCTAATGTCTTGGCA